ATATATTATATATATAATATATATATATATACTATAATTATTATATATATACTTATTATAATATATATATTAAGTAGTAATAATATGCTGGTTGCATCAGAGTTATCTACCTACCCCGTGTCATGTGGCCTATACTGTGTGTTATGTCGTGTGTCTTGTGTGACCTGTGTGTGTGTGTTGTGTTGTGTGTGTGTGTGTGTGTGTGTGGTGTGTGTGTGTGTGTCGTGTGTGTGTGTGTTGTCGTGTGCGTCGTGTGTGTGTTGTGTGTGTGTTGTGTGTGTGTGTGTGTGTGTGTGTGTTGTGTGTGTGTGTGTGTGGTTGTGTGATCGTGTGCGTGTGCAGTGCTGCGTGCGTGGTGTGTGTGTGTGTGTGTGTGGTGTGTGTGTGTTGTGTGTGTGTGTGGGTGTGTGTGTGTGTGCGTGAGTGGTGTGTGTGTGTGCTGTGTGTGCTGTGTGTGTATAAAGATAGATAAATAGATGTATTACATAAAAAATGAATATATATTATATAATATATATATATTATAATAATATATGTATATTTGATTATATACATATATATATCATATATATATTTACAATGTATATTATGGATTAACACTATATTACTATATATATATATATTATATATATAAATATATATTATATATTGTATATATATACATTATATTACTATATATGTTTGGTATGTAATGTATGTATGTATAAACATAATATTTATATATATATATATTTATATATATATATATATTATATTACATATATATGTATCATATGTATCATATATATATATTATAATATACTATATATAATATACATATACCTATCACATATTACATATAGTATATATTAAATTATATATATTTTACGATTATATATATATATATTATATATATATATATATATAATATATATTAATATATATATATATATAATTATATATTTATATATATATATATTATTATTATTATGGATAACGCGGTTCGTAGAGTACCATCATATTATAAGAAAAATCAATGAGCAAGAATTCCATATCTTCAGGCTAAATAGGTAAGTAATTATGCTTCAGATACATGCAGACAGCTTGGCCTAAACTTACGGTAAACGTGCGTATCTTGGGCGCAGTTTGAACGTAAGTGCGAGTAAACAAACGGGCGGCGGGCGCGGTTGCTTCGTAATAAATTCGGCGCGGCGGGTGAGAGCGAGTTCTTCGAGGTAGACATTCGTTCGGAGGCGCGATTTTCTTCGTAGGAGATTCAGCGTATTTGCTGAGCGCGACATTCGGCAGGAGGCTTCTGTGCGGCGGGACACGATGCCAGTTTATACGACGCGAGCTGACTTAGAATTAACTTGGGGTGATGGTAACTATGTAAGCCTATATAAAGCAAGGTGTCTCCAATGCATTACTCTTATTGAAACAGATTTCGACTCCATCAGTTAGTTACATGTTTCATATTCTCCAGTACCTTAAAACCAAGGCCACAGCGGACCCTCCGACATTGATTTCCATTACATGCCATATATGGGAGAGAGAGAGAGAGGGAGAGAGAAGAGAGAGGGAGAGAGAGAGGAGGGAGAGAGAGAAGCAGGAAGAGAACGAGAGAGGGAGTAGAGAGAGGAGGGAAGAGAAGAGAGAGGAAGAGGAAGAGTAGAGGGAAGAGACGAAAGAGAGAGAGAGAGAAGAGATAGAGGAGAGAGAGAGAGAGGGAGAGAGAGGGAGGGAGAGAGAGAGAGAGGAGAGGGATAGAGAGAGAGAGGGATAGAGAGAGAGAGGAGAGAGGAGAGAGAGAGAAGAGAGAGGGAGAGAGAAGAGAGAGGGAGAGAGAAGAGAGAGGGAGAGAGAAGAGAGAGGAAGAGCAGAGAGACCGGAGAGAGAGAAGCAGACGAGGGGGGGAGGAGAGAGAAGGCAGAGAGAGGAGAAGAGAGGAGGGGAGAGAGAGAGAGAGATAGAGAGAGAGAGGAGAGAGATGAGAGAGAGAGAGAGAGAGAGAAGAAGAGGGGAGAGAGAGGAGCGGAAAGAGGTGAAATAGAGAGTACGAGAGTTGAGAGGAGAGAAAAAAGAAGAGAGAGAAAGAGAGAGAGCGAGAGAGAGAGAAGAGAGAGGGAGAGAGGGAGGAGAAGAGAGAGGGAGACGAGAGGATTAGAGGAGATAGAGAAGGAGGGAGGAGAGAAGAAGAGAGAGAGATAAGAGAGAAGAGGGAGAGAGAAGAGAGAGGGAGAGAAAGGAGAGGAGAGAGAAGAGAGAAGGGAGAAAGAAGAGAGGGGAGAGGGAGAAGAGAGAGGAGAGAGAGAGAGAGGGAGAGAGTAGCCATTAGAGAGGGAAGAGAGAAAGACGAGGAGAGAGGAGAGAGAAGAGAGAGTGAGAGAGAGAGAGAAGAGGAGAGAGAAGAGAGATGGAGAGGAGAGAGAGAAGAGAGAGAGGAGAAGGAGAGAGAGAGAGAGAGAGAGAGAGAGAGGAGAGAGAGAGAGAGAGAGAGAGAGAGAGAGAGAGAGAGAGAGAGAGAGAGAGGAGAGAGAGAGAGAGAGAGAGAGAGAGAAGAGAGAGAGAGAGAGAGAGAGAGAGAGAGAGAGAGAGAGAGAGAGAGAGAGAGAGAGAGAGAGAGAGAGAGAGAGAGAGAGAGAGAGAGAGAGAGAGAGAGAGAGAGAGAGAGAGAGAGAGAGAGAGAGAGAGAGAGAGAGAGAAGAGAGAGAGAAGAGAGAGAGAGAGATGAGAGAGAGAGAGAGAGAGAGAGAGAGAGAGAGAGAGAGAGAGAGAGAGAGAGAGAGAGAGAGAGAGAGAGAGAGAGAGAGCACGGAACTTACAGCATCCTAATCACGTTTTTTCTGGGCATGTCTGCAAATACGTAAAATGCTAAACGATAAAAAATGATTCAAAAATTACAACAGGAAAAAATGCACGCTATATTTCTTTTAACCATGTGACATTCGAATGGAAACACTACGATCTATATTGGTGCATTCACAGCAAAATAATTTCAAAATAATATTCGAAATTTAAAAAAGTTTTCAACACTTACTAGAGGGATTATAGTAAAGGCAACAAATATACAAAAAAAAAAAAAAAAAAATGCTGAAAACCACAGCAGCTGTGCAGCCTATGGTAATAAGTATCGCTGAATTGCGGTGCACATCAGCCAAAATAAAATAAGGTAGGCTTTAAAAATTACAGAAAACTAATCGGTGGTACCGTAATCACAGAAAATTGTTTATCGGGGACTTTCCTAAACTTACCCTATAGTCTATACACCTCAAACTATCTAAATACTAATGGTGCGTTCGGAACTGCTCGTCTATCTCGTCCAGACCAGTTGGACGAGATGTTTTGACCGTTCGGAACCTCCATTATCTCGTCCTGGACAAGTAGTCTAGCTCGTCCAACTCGCCCTCCTGCGAAGGTGGGCGAGCAGGACGAGATGACGTCACAATAGATTTTGTATGTAAACATTGACAGTTGCAGGTAACCACAATATATTGGTGGGTAATTTTATGACCCTTTATTGGTGTTATCAAAGGATAATTTTGTATTTGCCAGTTACAGGTAAGTTAAATATGCATCAAAGGAGTTACAAAACCTATGCAGCGTGTAAAATAAAGACACCGGTATGATAAAAAAGTGAATGTTTAATTCGAGCCGGTTGCATTCTGGGCAGAAAGGGTCTTGGAGGTTCCGAACGCGGCGCATCTCGTCCTGCTGGTCCTGGACAAGTTGTCTGGACGAGATAGACGAGCAGTTCCGAACGCAGCATAAAAAACATTACAGAATACTCAATGAAAGTCGGTGTATAAATGCAAGATGATACCATATGCAGCGAAAAGTATGGAAAACAAAGAAAGGTGAACATTGTTACATAATTCACATTTCCATCTTGTATATTGGAAGCGAAGTAGAGAAAGCTCGCAGACATTGCTCGACTTTTGGCACTAAAAACTTAGATAGTAGCTTAGATTTGGCTGAATTTCTTGCCAGAACGCCGGAGAACTTTATTGCTAGGAGGAGGGAGAGACAGAGACAGACAGACAGACCGAGAAAGTGTCATAATCCTGGCGACCAATCTGTCCGTGCATCCTACGTACCGCGGATATGACACGGTTATGTTTGTCGCGTTGTTGCCCCGTCAGTGTGCCAGCAAAATAGTAGCTGAGCTGAGTTATATCTAAAGACACCAAACAAGGCAAAGAACATATTTTCATTCATCCTTTATTTCTTTCCACTGAGACAGTGTAATCCATAGATTTTATAATATCGCATTTACCGACTATGACGTCACGTTGACTAATAGCAAAGACTATCTACGTAGATAGTCTTTGCTATTAGTCAAGTAGGGACTGAATTTGGGAAACAAAGGCATGCAAAGGTACATGCTTTTAAGTTTCATAAAGCTACATTACAAGGAAACGAGGCTTTGAAAGGTGATGATGCAGCATGCAGACTTTCTCTTAAGAGCCGAAGGAACGGAAGAGACTCAGCCAGAGCAGTCTTGTTTCCAGTTTTAATTTTACATAAACTTTTTCTCTTGGAAATGTGTATGTAAATGACCATATCTATCATGCATGTTCTATTTATCAGATTATTTTTACACATTTTCGTTGTTCAAGTGTTCCCTTGCACATCACTTACCTAAAATAGTTTCATCAACCAGAAAGCAACAATCTCCAATGATAATAAATTTATAAAGATAGGTCATTCCAATTTTACCAAGATTTTTTTTTATAATCCTTATCAACAAATCTTAATCCGATGTAAAAGTGATTGATATTTATCAGATCGACTCTACATAATTGAAAGAACTTTCGGTCTGAGGATGAATTTTCAGATGAAGATCCATAATCCTCATTTACATATGTATTTTTTGTATCATATTTAAATGGTAAACTGAATTATTATATTTACTCTGATCACCTGTTCAACATTTGTCCTATAACTTTTGAAGGTAAAGGCTAGCATAGGTTTACTGAACAGAATATGGAAATGCCCCCCCTGTCTATAAAAAGGATTATAAAAATAAAAATAAAAATATTTATTTATAGTCAGATACACCTTATGTCTGTTACATACAGGTAAGCTGAACATGAAGAGGGTGTAAATACAAATACAAATGTAAATAATAAAAAAGAATTAGCCATTTTTTATTCTGGTATTGGAAAAAGTGTCAAATTATAAAATATACCTAAACACCACACCACATACATTTCTAAGAAAAAAAATACCTATGTACAATTTCCTTTTACATCTCGAGACGTTGAAGGGCATTAGTAATGTAAATCTACAAACAACTCAAAAGCAGCTCTATGTTGTGAAATGATAAACTATAACGTTACCCAAAAGTGGTAGCGCAATAAAACCATACCCCCCTCACCCCCCCCAAAAAAAAAACTCTAAAATGCTGATATCCATTCATCAGAGTTGAGGAATTCCCAGACCAATTTGTTGACAACTTTGGGGTTGTCCTGCTGAACCCAGTGCGTCGCTCCTTCCACGTACTTCACCTGGGCGAACACGCATTCCTCCGCTCCCCTGCGAAATAAAACGGAACAGTTTATTACTCCATGAATGTTGAGGCAGAAGGAACTTAAGTAACACCTTTCTGAAAATCATTAATTCATGATTATGTAACGCCTTGCACTCCTACACACTCGCGGGCGCAGAGACACGAGAAAATGGCGTGTTTGATTACATACATGTCCGCTAGGCGTCTGTCCAGAGCCATGTCTTCGGTGCCCCAGACGATGAGGGTGGGCACCTTCACCTTTGGAATCTTCGTCGTTCTATCAGCAAAATCAATGTTACGATAGTAGTTGATTGGAGGCGTGAAAGCTCCTGCAAAAAGATATTACATTCAATTATTCACGCCGGTTTTGTTCTTCCATATCGAACTTGATACAGATTCCTTTCCATTCTCTTCATGGTGCATAAAAAACACACACACCACAACTCACCATCTTGAGAGAAATAATACTTGTAGGCCTCAATGACTTCATCAGGGTAAGTATCAACGTCGTTCTTGGGGCCGCGATACATCTGCGTCAGGGTGGCCAGATCCTGAGCGCGAAATATCAGCTCGGGAACCCAAGGCATTTGGAAGAAGTATATGTACCTGTGAAGATGACGCATTCATTGCATATCGCCAAATCGTTGCATGAATTAAAGGAGTGTATTCATTTCTCAAACCAGGTTCTACTTTTTAGGTGAACTGTGAAGCGTTGGTTTGTGGACTTTATTATTTACCCGATCTACCCTATTATTTTATATAATTCCTCGATCTATCCTATTATTTTATACAATTCCTCGATCTATCCTATTATCTTATCATACAATTCCTCGGGCCATATGGCAGTAAAATTGGCTTTCACATGACTTCCTCTACTATTTCGACCATAAAGATGAATGTGGTAAAGACTGCGCGTTCCGTGATGACTCGGGGAAATCTACCCCACACGATCGACTTCGCTTCACAAGAAAGCACTAAACCCACGGCCTGGAAACTGTTGCTAACTTTCCAAGCACGATCGGGCAAATAAATAGGTCCAGCAATAAGATAATCCAAATTTTTTTAACATGCTACGAATACGAACCAAGACATTCTGATCTGCTTGAAAGAAGAATTCAAATGTTTGCCAAATGCTCCTGGGTGCGGGCCGTTCATGCTGATGTGTGCAGTGAAGAGGTCTGGATACTGGATGACGAGACGCCATGCAAGCACCGCGCCCCAGTCATGTGCCATTAAGATACACTTCTCCTTTCCTGAAAAACAACAATAATAATAATGGCAAATTTATCGTCTATTTTGACAACCGACGCGAAAATTTCATGCAAATACTTACAATTCATTTTAT